CAAAGATATCTTTTATGGAAGATTTATTCAAACTTACCAAGAAAAGAGAAACAACTAAAATCTCCATCACTAGTGAGTAGATAGATCAACTATAATACACAACACTACTCAACAGTGCATGCTACAGTCTGGGTAAATCTCAAAACCATTATACTAAGAAAAGAAGTCAAACACAAAAGGCTACATGTGATTCCATCCTTACAACATTCTGGAAAAGGTAAACTATGGAATAACGATTATATTAGTGATTTCCAGAAACATTTGCTGTAGTCCCGGTTTGCAGGGGAATAGATTTAATACAGGACACAATTTATAGGATTATTTTATAATATTCACACAAAATTTCAAACACAGAGGAGTGCAAGAGATCTGTCCATATACTAGAGACCCAAAGATTCCAGCTGAGGGCCTGGATCCCAAAGCAATGTCCTGCATGAGTCCAGCTGAAGACCTAGAGCCCACGGCAATGTCCTCCACGAGTCCAGCTGGAAGCCTGGAGCCCATGACAATGTCTCATGTACGTCTGTATCAAGGATAGGCACTGGGAAGGCCCAAAGATCAGTGGTGGAAGCTAGAAAGTCTGTGCCACTGGGGAAGGATCTGTACGAGCAGGCTGAGGGATCTGCATTGAAGCCAGAAAACGATGCTCAAGGTAAGGACCAGAGCTCCCTGCAAAAAAGAACCACAGCCATCATCAGCCACAGTGAGGACCCAAGCTCCTCAACGATGAGAACAGCTGAGTTTATGTCAGGAACACCAGCGTGACAAGCTTCTCCAGGAGAATCAACAGCGTGCCATCTTTCCTTCCAGCTCTCCTTTTACGCTGTTGGCAACAGTCCTCAGGTGGGCCTCCACACCAGAACCACGCTGATTCAGGTCAGCCGGGTGTTACAAGTTAACCGTTAGTTCACCCACCTCAGAGTTGGAGGGGGAGGATCACACATAAGGGAGCAGAAAGGTATCTAGTGCAGTGACAGGAATATTCTACATCTTTATATATCATTTATGTAATTGCATACACATTTGTCAACAAAACTGCTGGAATAGAGCACCTAAACAAGGAAATTTTACTACATAAATACAAAAGAAAATGGAGACACAAATATTGCTCAATGAACTTGATACCATTTTATATTTAATTGGCACATAAAAACTACACATACTTATAAGGTAAATGTGATGTTTCAGTACATGTATACCGTGTATAGTGACCAAATAAGAGTGACTAGAATTCCCACCACCCAAATATTTACCATTTCTTTTTGGTGAGAACATTCAAACTCTTCTCTTGTAGCTTTTTGGAAATATTTAATACACAGTGATCCTACTAAGCAGTGGAACACCAGAACTTATCCTCCAGCTAAAGGTAAACGGACTCAGATTTTCAAAAACATTGGGGAGAAAAATATTCCCCAAAATACATTTGAGGAATAAAATATTGGGTAACCAAATATTTCTGTAACTAGGGAAAAATTGCAAAGGTAGGACAAAGTTCAGCAGGCCGGAGAGATAGCTCAGAGGCACAGTGCCTGCCTGGCAAGCGCAAGGTCCTGAGTTCAATTCCCGGTACAAAAAAAAAAAAAGGACAAAGCTCAGGAGCAACTCTAATGGTCATTTACTCATTTACAAGTGAAATTTCTTCAGTTGCTTCAAACTGTAAACACATTTTAATACTAATTTATTAATTTTCTGGTTTAATTAAAATTCTTTCCTTCCCAAAAAGCAAAAGTTCTGTTACAAAAAAGAAAACACTGTATGTAGTATCTTCCCACATAATGATTTATTTCATATTCTTCAATGATTAAAATACTGCATATTATATGAAAAATATTTACAAACTGCTTATTAAACAGAAATTTCGTCAAAGGTGAGGAAAAGTAAAAGATAATATCTTAAAAGAAAAATATGAATCTCACAAAGTTGCACTTGTTGCCCTAATAATAGTGATCACAGGATTTACATTTCAATATTCTCAGAGACTTTAGTGATATAAAGTTGCAATGGAAAGATTCCTGAGACTTGATTTGAATTCTCTTCTGAGAAATTCCACTTAGGTGTCCTCCTGACTTTGTTAAATACTGTCAGAAAGCAGACAATCATATGCCCAGCAGAGGCAAGCTTCATTTCCATGCACAATATATTATAATATACTTCTACAAATACATATCTAGAAAATGGAGGATATTAAAAGAAATAGCGACTTTGCTTTCTTTTTAATGCTTGCTGCCACCAAGCTTCCAACTATTAAATTTGACAACCAGACTGAAAGACAGTAAAGTGTTATTGATCCCGTATATTATGTACATTAACTATATTCCAGCCCCCAACAATTACCTGCTGTCATTAATATTTTCAAAGTTTTACCAAAAAAAAAAAAAGAAAAACAAACAAAAAACAAGGAATGCTACAAAGAAGAAGATATCAGGGACTGGGTGTAGCTCAGTGGTAGAGTTCTTAGCATGTGCCTGGCCTGGGGCTTGATCCCCAGCACAAAAGTAGGGAGAGGATAAGAAAAGCTAAGATTAGTTTCAATGCATACATTTCAATGTATGCACCTGACCTTTACAAATGATACTTTAACAATCATACATAACTTTAGGGAAGGGTCCAAGACTTTTGACTTCACTGGTTTATAAAAGGATTTCCACTTCAATTAAATTTGAGTGTATAATTTCCCTCTTCTGACTTAAATAACAAATAGAACAAACAGAGCTTTAAAGGACAAAGAGGTTATCAAAACATTTTTACTAAAATAGTTCTAGATAATAAACTTGTCCTTATCTATTAGTCAACCAATATGGAGTCTGTATCATAATTAAGTGATAGGTAAATAAACAAAAACAAACACTTAATTAGAGGGCAAAAGGCCATATAAAGTTGATGAAAATAAACCCTGAGACTCATTCTCCTAGATAAACCTAACATGACTTTTTAAAATGCAAAGAAAATTTTTTCAAAAATTTTTTTGTAATATTTGTCATCGTTCTGGTTTTTTTCCTCATCTGCATATATTCAATCAACTACTAACTGATGATTCTGCAATCAGAGAAACTCTCCTTTAGGAGTTTCTTTAAATAAAAAGAGAAAAACTAAGAAAATTTTGACGATTACAATGGTGCAGACTTTACCAAAGGGCCATAGTATCCAAGAGAAGGATACTATGGAGACCTTGCTCGGTGGGAGGTTGTCAAGTTCACAACTAACCTCTCCAGGTGTTGGTCTTGTTCTGTTTTGTTAGCTGCAAGTCATTCAGTGTTGTTTACTTCCAAAACGCAAAAACAAGACTCAAAGACTCATTGTTTCTATATTCCTTACTTACTTATAGCTCTCCCTCTCCCTCTCTACCCGTCTCTCTCCCCCTCCCCTTCTCTCCCTCCCTTCCTCCCTCTCTCTCTCTGCCTTTTTCTTTTACATCCTATTTTTCCCTTTGTCATTGATAACAGATTAAAGACTCTTCCTTTATATATCAAAGTAAATTAGATTCAAATACTATCTCTACGTTATTCTTTAAATCATTAAAGAAAATAGAACAGTAGACATTTATCACAAAAAATTACAAGCCCAACTGATTTTACATGAGAATTTACAGAAGGAACAAAGATTAATCACTACCTTATGAAAACTGTTTCATGGAAACTACCGATTTATTTACTGAAGTGGGAGAAGAAAAATGAACTAACATTCCATGCAGAGATATAAAAATAATGAAAAATATGAGGAAGCTGGATGTAGGAGTACATGTGACACATTCATAACTTGTGCGCTTAAGTGTATATGAGTACAAAATGGAAAGATCTTTTACATTAAAAAGACCTACTAATATAGTTTACCATATCAGTAGATCAAAGAAGAAAAATAATATGATTCAACAAGAAATTCAGAAAAAGCATTTAAATATTTCCATTCCCATCAAGACAAAAACATTATATCAGTGAAAAAATAGGAGTCCTTTTTATTAGTACATGTTTGCAATATATAACTGGTACATTCATTGTGTGGAATATATATAAACATATATATATGTTTATATATAGATATATAAAATCTTAATCATTTTTGCTCCCCCTTCCCCTGTATAACCTGAAAAGAGTATCTGTCAAAGCCTACAGCAAATATAGCACTAAAGCATAGAATAATAAGTCCTCCCTGGGAGGTGAAGGATCAGCCTAAAAGGCTGCTTTCACCACTTCTGTGCCACTTGCCCTAGATGTACCAACAATGCGAAAGACAGGAAAGCTAAATTCCCATTGTTCCCACATACTGGACAGAAACCTTAACCGAATTTATATCCAAAATATGACTAATAACAAAAAATACAGAAAGATTTCTTGATACAAAATCAATGACCAATAAATCAAGGATTTTCGTATAAACAAATCAATCAAGAATATTATCATGAAGAAAGCTTTCATTTGCAATAGCAACCAACAGTTAAAGGTGGAAAGAAATGCAATAAAAGAGTTTGAAGATCTATATGAAGAAATTTATAATTTACATGTTTTTATGGAAAGACATACAGGAAATCTAATAAATGGAGAGATTTATCATGCCCGTGGATAAACAACTGACTACTCTGCAATATGCCCCAGTTGAATAAAATAACAAGCTAAAGCTAATAAGATCTTTGTGTTGAACTTTCTAAGCTCTTCTTAAAATCCTCATAGAAGACATAGGCTGAGATATTTTTTTAAGAGCCATGAGAAAGTATCACCTTATCAGGCCAAGACATCGTTATAATTTGCAATTAAGATTCTGTGACCTGGCACAGAGCAAACAGGGAAGTAAAGAAAAAGAAACAGATCCACAATAACCCAAGAAGCATGTACTGCTCGAACACTGGGAAAGGCACAAACACACTATTAAATTCTCCGTAACTAAAGCTCTAAAGTACAAAAATCAAGAATTAGTACTATTTAACACCGTCAAAATAAAATACAGAAAAAACCTTCATAATCTCCAATTTTGGCAATTTTTAACTTAAAAATGTAACTGTGGTTTTAAAAAAAAGCACATAATATAAAATTTACTATCTTAATCATTTTTGAGTGTACGATTCAGATGTTCCATGTATTCACACAGTTGTGCAGTAGATCTCCAGAGCTCTTCATACACACCTTATATAAATGAGAAAATACAGAATTTGCCCTTTCACAACTGCCTTATTTCATTTAGCAAAATGTCCTCAAGTTTCATGAAAGTTGTAGCAAATGACAGAATTTCTTTTTTTTAATGCTGAACACTATTCCATTGCACATATGTGCCACGTTCTGTTTATTCATTGGTCCATTGATGGACATTTGTGTTGCTTCCTCCTCTTGAGTGTTGTATCTGTCTGCAAAAGTGGGCAAATTCCTTTGTGCGATTCTAATATCCCATAAGTGGGACTGCTGGATGTGTTGCTCAGCTTTCCCATTAGAGGACAGAAATACCTGACACTTGTGATTTGAAGGAGGAGTGAGAGGCTCGTTGGGCTCACGGTTTCGGAGCATTCAGTCCATGGTAAGCTGGCTCCAAGGCAGGAGCATCACGGCGGAAGGATGTGGTGGGGCAGAGCTGTTTCCTTTATGGTATCTGGAAAGCACAGCAGGGAAACAGTGGCAAAGAAGGGACCAATAACTAGATATGCACTCAAAGGCATCCTCCATTACCTACCCAGACACACCCACAAGTATACTGTACCAGCCCCAAAGCCAGTTCTCAAGCCAATCAAGTGGACACACCAGCTTACCACATGGGCTTGTATAGCAGTTCTATGTTGTTTGTTGAGGAATCTCCATTCTGTTTCCTGTAGCAGTTGCACCATGTTACATTCCCATAAAGAGTCCACAAGAACTGCACGTTCTCCACATCCTGGCCAACACTTGTTATTTCTAGCATTTTTTTGTAAAAATAGAAGCCATTTTAATGTATGTGACATTTAAGCAGGAAACAAAAAGCAAAAAACATAAAGAACATATTAATAAATTTGACAACTTCTTGGTTTGTAAGTTAATTTAAAAATCCTAAACAGATTAAGAGAAGCTATTTGCAACATACTTAGCAAAGGATTAGAATCTGAAATACATAAAGAACTTGTACAAACAAAAGAGTTAAATCACTCAATATGAAATCTCTGGCAAATATGGAGGGAAATAGAAATAGAAGAAATATGCAGAGACATAGAAGCTCATATGATTGATAAATGCATAAAAAGATGCATTTCACTTGCCAAGAGGTTAGTGCTAAATAAAACAACAAAGAGATGCCATTCCACGTTCATCATATTGACAACAATTTTAATATCTGATAAATTTTGGAGATGTAAAGAAAAAGGAACATTTAATACTGCTGTTGGGAACATAATCAGTACCTTCCCAATAACTATTACAGTTAAAAGTACACATTGCCTGACATGCTGGGAATCCAAGGTGGGTGTATTTCTTGAGCACTTGGAACATGGGAACAATGAGATACCTACTAGGATGTTCAGTGCCACACCGTTTGAAATGGAAATAACCTAAATGCTCACAATAAAGGAATGAGTCATAAACTGTGGCCTCATCATTCCAGAAGGCAATTAAAATGATTAAGCTAGAAATGCTAGTATTACCATGGATAAATCTCAAGAACATAATAATGTCAGAGGATGCATACAATATCATACCATTTAAAAATACAGAATATAATCTTGCATATGTCATGAGCTCAGAAAGATAAAATAAATGTATAAAAAATATGGATAAGAATGCCCACACCCTTCAAAACATGGTTCTGTGTTAAGGCCGGGATAGGGAAACCAAATGGAGGAGAAGGGGGAAAGTGCTTCACCTCTTAACAACTTACACCTTTAAAAATGGAAATATGGCAATATTTATAATGGATATTGTGTCTGGACAGTGAGGATGAGTGCTTGTTTCATTACTTTCTGTTTTTCTATAGGTTTTATTTGCATGAGGCAGGGAACAAGTGTGGATAAAATAGGCATTCAAATGTGACACTGTTCCGCGGGCTGGTGTCTGAAAGCGGGGTTCCCAGCTCATTTCTGTGAATTCAATCACTAATTATTTCAGAGATAAACAAGCTATACAGTGATATTAAAATTTCAATTTACTGTTAGAGCTAGCTGTCCATTGCTCCTTACATATTTAAAATTGTTCATCTGCAGTAAACTGAATCTATCAAAAAGTATAATTTAACCATCATTTAAGAGACATCTTTTTCTCCTTTCCCTCATCCCAGTTGTTCCTTCTCTTTGAGCAGTGTCTTTCCCTTTCACAATATCTATTGTACCTTTAGGGTTTTATTTACTCTTTCAGGTTCTTACACTAGGCAGACAATACAATGTTTACACATGTGGGTCTGATTTATTCACTTATGAGTATGGTGTCTAGTACATATATGTATATACAAGGATAGCTGGGATAATTTTACTGCTGATGTCTATTGGTTTATTGAAAGTAATAGTTAATGCTTAAGTTTTTTTTTTCTCGACCAATTTTGCATGCTTATATCTGGTAATCAGAACAACTAATTTGAAGACAACAATATGCAATATAACAACTATTGGTGAATTTCTATCTTCTTTAGTGAAGCTCTGCATCATTTCTAGTGTTTTCCGTATTATTGTTTATTCTCTTTAATGGTTTGATCAATCTTGCATTCTTACATCTGGTAATTGTTGAAGATAACAGTAAGTAATACAACAACCACTGTTAATTCCTATCATTTTATTTTAAAACTTTGTATCATTTTTTATTGTTTTTGTGTCATTTGTTATTGTCTATGTTGTTATTTTGCTATTTTTAAAATTTTCTTTAAAATAAAAATAGAAACATCAAAGGCATGTGTTTGTTTTGTTTTTAAAACTTCTATGATAGACTACATTTTCTCAATTATTTTGAGAATTCAGTTTAAAAAGATGTGATGTCATTGGTGCTTGTACATTATACTAAGTTAAGTATGTCATAAGATGATTGCTTTCGGGGTGTATGGAAGAAAGTGTAGTCCTCATGTCTTGACTCACACAGCAAGTCTGAATGCAGCCTGTCTACTGATTTATCTCTTCATTCAACGCATGTTTACTTGGAGCCCACTCTCAAGTGCTCAAAAAGGAAATTAGTATCAAATATCACAGCTGAAATGTTAGGAAGTGAGTTTCCAGTGGAAGCAACTGTTGGGGTTCATCTGCTATCCTGGCTGGCTCTCAGTTCTTACAGACCGAGAAGTCCGATCCATTCAGATTCAGGCAGGAAAGAGAAAAAAAAAGGGGGAGTTGACAGCGAGGCCTGACACTGACATGCAGTCCCATGCTACATGCTGTTTTCATAATTAATTCAGTCATTTTAGAATTCAAAGGGTCCTCACTTCTTCTACAAATGAGCAGACTGAGGCCAAAGGCCCTAAGTCATTCTTTTAGATTCTGAGTCCAGTTTCTTCACACAGCTTTTACAGCCACGACTAGAACTCAAGGTTCCCAGAAGATCAGAACACACACAGCAGGCCAGGTGGGCCCGGGGAGCTGCTCAGCCACCTCCCAGGGTGGCCGTGACTCCGCCCCAACTTGCGTGTTCGACAGTGAAAGAGACCCGGGGAAGAGCCACATCTGATTTCCAAAACAAGCTAGAAATCCAGAATTCTATGTAAGAGCTCACATTCTCCAATGCTGGAAATGGATTCAAAACTTTAAAACAGACCATGTGAGCCAAACAAAACACATCTGTGGGCCATGTTCCAAGCACTGGTCACTATTTTGCAACATAGAGTATAAAAAACAGGATCTGAGGCCTCCTCTTGGACAGCGTTCATGGCTCCTGAATGCAGGGGGGAGAACGTTTCGCTCAAAGCTGCTCCTCATGTTTGAGACATCTAAGATTAAATATTCACTGCAGAGACTATTTTGATGAAAAGCAGAAGTTGGAAACGGATTCGTTTATACCTTTGAAGATTACAAAGAATAAAGTTGGCCACCTGGTCCATTCGAAAACAAAACAAAGAACGCGTGGTTGTCAGGGATCTAAAATCAGGCACTGCAGTGAGGCAGGAGGGGACAGGGCCACGCCTGACAGCCCCAGCGCACACCGCTCCAGGCGCCTCCTCAGCCCCTATCGCTTCTGTCTTACAGCTCTATCGCCTCCTGCTCTCATCGCTAGCTCGCTCTCCTTCGGCTCTCTGGGTGGGACTCAGAATGGGGGTTCTCCGTGTAGAGGAAGACTGGGAGCTCAGCAGGTTCAGGCAAAGTTCTGCTTATTAAGAAAAACTCACACATAAGGACTCTTTACTGTTTCTCACCGTATTTTAAAAACTTTTCATTTAAACCCTTAGTGTATCCTAGAATGAGGTGTGACACGCAGGCCTCCCTTGCAGATGAGGCTTAGAGAGGTCACCAGCCTAGCCAAGGCAGCAAGCAGCAGAGCCCGGACTCACCCAGCTCCTTCCAACCTGAACAGATCCCCCAATCCCCAGCTTTTCCCACCTCCCTCTCTCTTCCTGTTCACAGGATTTTAGTCCTTTTTATTCTCCCACAGCATAGTATCATCCAGCTTCCTTATCGCAAAGCAAGAAAATATGAAGCAGTATTGTGCACATGTGTGAGTTTTTAAAAAACAAGCACTTCAGAGAGACCTAGAATCTGCCTTCTCTTTTTATTACAGTAACTATAGAGTCAGTCTATCCCACAGTAGCAGGAAGTTCTGTGAAGAACAAAAGGACAAGCTCAACCCTATAACTCCCATCTCTAAAGACCTCAGGGTACTTAGAGTGAAAGAACTAACTGTGTTCCCTACAACATCGCTGCTTGACAAAAACTAGAATTTTCTCCATGCTTTAAATGAAAAAACAAGTACTGACATACATCTGTGCACGTGTGGTACGTGAGCGTAGGTGCGTCGTGTGGTATGGTGTTTGTGTGGCACATGTGTGCTGTGTGTATAGTGTGTATGCATAGGTACGGTTGGCAGGATGTGTATGTGTTTGTGTGATGGAGGTTATGTCTACGTGTGTGGCATGCAGGGTGTACACATGCTGTGCATTTCGAACGTAATGCAGGTGTGTGGTAGGATTATGATGTGGAAGATATGTGTGTGAGATGTGTGGCATTTGTATGATAATTTTCAGGTCAGCCAGTGACCGTGATCCTGGGTCAGTCTCAGCCACATCACAGGTGTACTTTTCCAGTGCACGATGCTTCTCCAAGTTTGATCTGAGGATCCAGCTGCATGACACTCCTCTGGGGATCTTGCCATTGTGGCCACTCCTGAGTCCTGCGTCACAGCCACTGGGTGTGGGCAGGTCCCTAACCCTGCATCCACTCCAGTGACATCCTGCCGCAGACCCCAGCTGTACGCTGTGGCTATGCACACACTGCCACGCTCAGGTTCACTGCCCCCCTGTGACAGAGACATGCTTCAGCAGCGCCGGTGAAGGCCTGAACCTGAACACAGAACTGAACCCTATATTCACCAGATTCCCTTATACATACATGCCCATAACAAGGTTTAATACCCACCAAACACACACACGTACACATCTATCTCTTGCATTGTACTGGGGCACAGCTCACCTTGAGTAATTGAAATCTAGAAAAGTAAAATCGTAGAGAAGAGGAGGATTATATATTTTGATTATGTATACAAGCATAAAAGGGAAGAAAGAATTGGAGCATAGTGAAATTTCCGCATCATTTTCTTGTATTAACTAAGTAAGAATGGGAAAGAGTCTTACACTGCACTCCTGCTATACAAATACACACAACCATACATACAGAGAGAGCATATGCGCACACACACGTGACCAAGCCGACGAGCCCCTCGTATTCTCGGCTTCCCCATCAGCTTTTAAGAGACAAGGCTGTTCAGAAGCCTGAGCAGAGGAGCAGGACAGAACTCTAGCTGAG